TTAGCGTCGACTTGGCGCCATTTGTTCACAACATTTTTTTATGATTTTTTTTCTATGTTAATAATTACCAAACAAATGATGCAATCAAAAGTATTGGTACCTGATTTAAGCCTCTCTGACATGTGTTAGTTCATCATAGTAATTTTCCTCAACGAAATATAATTTAAATATTCATGTTTTTGTTTTTATTCAGTCATTCAAGTTGATTATTTAAAAATATCACAGAAAAAATTGAAATTTGGAGGTAATATTTTATTTCAAATATTAACACTCGATTCCAATTGTTATAGGGTAATTCACAAATATTAGGTTATTTAGGTAATTAATTGAAGATTAAAATGCTCAAAGATTGAAGCACTGAAAATTTTCAATTTAAACCATTAAATTTAGGTGCAATATTGAAATGAAATATTAACAATTGATTCCAATTGTTAATGGGTCATTTACAAACATTAATTTGTCTGTTTAATTAATTTATGATCAAAATGTTCGTATTGTAAATATTGAAAAATTAACTGAACAAAAATTTTTAATTTGGTTGTTATATTCAAATTATTAAATTATTAACAATCGATTCGAATTGTTAAAGAGTAATTCACAAATATTAGGTTATTTGGGTAAATTTTAACTGAACTAAAATTTTTAATTTGGTTATAGTATTCAAATCATTAAATTATTAACAATCGATTCGAATTGTTAAACGGTAAGTCACAAATATTAAATGACTTGACGCTCTTCGATTGGCTTACAAGCACAGGCTCCATCCTAGTTCATGCGCCACCGCTACGGACCCGTGCGGATGAATTCCGTAAGCGCAGACAATTTCCTCCAACTTACTAGTTTTACTCCCTAGAACAGCCCACCCAAACAGCGCTAGGGAATAGTAACGCTCTCGAAATAACACTCTTGAAGAAGTGAATTCGTATCCGTTGCTATGGAGTTTTTTTTGTAATAATGTAATAAGTGAAAAAACTAAAAATCTCATCAGAAAGCTCAACCGCGATTTATGTAATGTATCTAAGGATACTTTTGCAAAATAGCGTGCGTTTAAAGGGGAAAAAAGCAATTCAAGTTTTTATAAGGGGTTAGGGTCGAGTTGTTAGCTGTAATATAATACACGACAACTCTCTGCCTGTGACGTCACCTCTGCGTGTGACGTCAACTTGGCAGATACGCTATCGCGTATCTTGATTTCCAACTGTTCGACTGGAATAAGCTCATTATTCTTTAATTATTCTAGAAACGCGTCGTTACGCAAAAGCGCCCTGGGATCCGTCATAGTGTTCGAGAATTCAACTCTTTTAGGGATCGCGCCCGTATTTTGTGACCTTCGCCGGGAAATTAAAATATAATCACTCCCGGTGAAGTCACGAATGATTATAATCCAGAAATAAAAGAATGATTTTTCGAAGGGAAGTGACTTGATATTTACGGGGGGACCTGAAATGAGAAAATAGGGGGGG